ACACCGGGAGGAGCAGGACAGCAACGCCGCGCTGCGCGCGCAGGTACCGCCCGGCCCCTGCGGGGGGCTCCTGCCCGCTCTGCGGGGTCCAACCCCCGTGGCAGCGCCCGGGGCGACCGCGGCTTTTGCGGGGGCCAGTCAGGGTCGGGGTGCGACTGGCCCCTGCCGGTGTTGGGAGCGGGGGCGGTGACCTCTGCTCGTGCTTCCCGAGGGGGAAGCAGCTCTGGCAGCTCCCAGGGTCTCAGTGGTTTTTCAGCCCTTGCCCTGAAAGCGTTGCCATTAGTTGCCTTGCTGCGCTGGACACCCCTCTCCGGGCTGCTGGCCCCTGTGGGGTGGGGGGGCAGCGGAGGGGTTCCAGCCTGGCCGCCTCCTGCAGGGGCGAGAACCACCTTCCTAGACCTTGAGTACTGACAGGGGGCTGGTCTCATTCAGTTTACTGCCTTTCAGCACCTGCTGTCTGCCCCTGTGAAGTAGGAGACTGGGCAAGAGGAGCCTGTGGTCTGAAGCAGTAAATGGCAGTTGTCAAGTTTCTTCCTTCCTTCCCCTCTGTGGCAGGGTGCTCTGTGTGGCTTGCTTTCCCTTATCCACACCCCAGAGTGCAGGGGTCTAGCTGGGAGGTGAAATTAACAGCATGCATTTCAAGGCAGGGGCTGAAAAGCTCCTGAGATCTTGGGACCTCCAGAACTACAGCCCCCCACCAGGTACCACATCCAGGGGGTACACAGCCCTCCCTGCAACACCTGGCAACCCCTCCCGCCCTTCCTGGGAAGCATGAAGGTCTGGGTCAGTGGCTCTCAGCCTTTCTAGACTTGAGGCACCTTTCTTTGACTACAGAAAAATATCAAGTGCAACAGAAGAATTGTTTTTTACTTTTCTGTAGCCAAAAAGAAAAAACAAGTAAAACCTTGGAGTTTGTATTTTCCAATGTGTACTTTGAACCTGAAAAGTTTGGGAACTGCTGTGGCAGAACATTTTTTCTGTGGCAAAGAACTTGGGAAGACCACAGTTGAACTGTTACAGTGTCAGTGATTGGGACCAGACCACAGTTGTGTGATATGCTGTGATTCTGATACTGGGGTGGGGTGGGAATGAGTATCCAGCCCAGTACGTCTTGCAGTGTGGGGGTGGGGAGGAGTACTTGCACCCATGTTTTCAGAGTCCGATGAGGTGGGTGGCCTGTGGCTGGGAGCATTGTCATTTTTCTGCTTTCCCTTGTTTCCTCAGCATTAGAGGTGCACCGATACATCTGTCCATGTCATATGGGCACCAATAAAAGGAAAATTGACATTATCAGCAATGAGCTTTTTTTGGCTGACTTAGCCGATAATGTTGCCAATAAATGCTGTGCTCATGTGTGCAGCCTCAGTGTGCACCAGCCAGCCCAGCAGCTTCGAGAGCAGTGTCTGGCTGGTAAGTCTGTTGGAGGGAAGGGGAATGGGGAGTGCAGATCAAGGCCCCCGTGGTGAGGGAGAGAGTGGGGCTGGGGCTGCCCAGCCAGGAGGGGTGTGGAATGGAGCTGCGAGCAACTTGTCTGGGGGAGCATGGGAAGGGGGCAACTCCTGCAGCTGCGCACACCTCCAGGGGAGATATGGGGGGCATGTGCCCCCTGGTTTTGCACACGGGACTGAGGCCAGGAGCAGTGCTGGGCTCTACCTGGTAGGTGGTTTGGGCCAGAGGTGCGCTCAGAGCAAGTGGCAACAATGCTGGAAGGGGGGGCTAAGGGGTGAGCTGTGGCCACATCAGAATGTGTTGTAGCCCCCCCTCTCCCCCCCCTCCCCGAACCTCCCAAGTGCTGCTGCCAACCAGCCTGAGTGTAGCCCTGACCTCC